CATGTTATAAACATTGTATTATTAGATTCATTGTGATGTTGGCTTTCATTGAAGTTTCAATTGTTATACTACTTGATGTTTTGGAAACTTAAACAAGTATAGTAGTTCTAAATATTATGAAATGACAGAAACATTAGGCCAAACAAATTACTTGTGTTTCTACTATCAGAAAAAAATAGGGTAGGTATGTATTAGCTAGGCATTTTATTGTTAATTTGAAAAATATCTTTACTGCGCTAATATAGAGCAGGAGTTCTGACTTTAACAGTGCATATAAAAACTTAAGGGTATTGTAGAACACAAATCTGAGATAAGTCTGGTTAACCACACTGGTGTCGAACACACCAATAAGTATAGTGTGTATAATATATCATAGTTTATACACATCATATTACTATTAGTGTGTCCAGTATCTGTGGGGTTAGCATAAACTCAATATTTGTTTTAAACTTTTAATTGGCCTTATATAATGATCATTTATAGGTCAGACAGGGTTTGGTTTCCAATTCGGAAACTAGACCTGTTAAAACAGTTATCATTTGTAATTTAGAGATTAAATATTTCTAAGCAGAAAAAAATGAACTATAAATATTTTTCAACCTTTTCTGAGTTGTACAATTTTAGAGTATCTTCTGTCTGAAATCTGAACATAACTTGTTTTATGATAAATGTGTAAAACAATTCCTCATACTGGGGTAAAGTTTTTCTATATATAGTCCCAAAAACTACAGATAAAATCCTTGAGCACGTACAAGATACAAAAATATATATTTTACGTCCATTTTGCAAAACATACAACATAAGCTACAAAGACAAAACATGAGTATAATAACAGAGACCAAAATATTACAACATGGAAAAATAAAATAAAAACATGTATGTACATGTAGTATACTGTAAGCTCAGAAAAAGAGTTTATCACTTGGAAAGCACTTAATAGGCACATTGAACACGGTAAGCACATCAGCACATGGTAATTTAAGCACATTTAGAACATTTGCATACAGCACATAAAAAACAAAACCATAACATGGAAAGCTTATTAGCACATAGTAGGCACATTTGCACATTGTAAGCAAAATAAAGGAGTGCAATGGACATCTCCATGTTTCCTGGTTAATTTCTTCTTTATGGAAACAACCAGGGGAGAGTGATGTTCTGCTTCATCTTTTGTATTAATGAAAACCGTGAATATCTAAGTGCGTGTGTTTAAACTAATTTTGTTTTGTTTTTACTGGTACCTTTTTATGTACACATGTTTTACCACCTAAGGAATTAGATGTCTTAAGCCCCCATATGATGTGCTGTTATAAGTTGAATTTAATGTACATTTTGTTTATATTTAGTTCTGCTACCAAAGAGATTGACTTATTGAAATGTTTTTGAAACATTTTAATGAACTCCTCAGCTTTAATGCCTTATTTCTCACTATACAAGCTCATATTGCTATGCCTCCTATTTGTTTGAATATCATCTCTAAACATTATTGCTGGTGCAGAAATTATATGGTAACTATGTTCTATTTTAGGGGGGGAAAGCAATCAATATTACAACAGACAGGGATGGTTATTGATGGGAGAAAGGAGGATGAGAAATAGGAACTGTACCAACTCTCTCATACCTTTGAGGACTTCATGAACTTTTTCAAAAGGCTGCAAGAACTATACCAACAGTGACATGACATTTTGAAATCTGTCAGTTACTTTATAGAGGAGGAACCTCTGACTAAATCATTTTCTCTCAGACACATGAAAGCCGAGTCCACAGATCCTTCCATCAGCGAATAGTTCAAATGTAGTTCAAATGCTTTCCTCGCAAACTTTTCCTTAATGGAGAAGTCAGTGATCTTTACTTGGAACAGATTGAATCTGTGAATATTGATGCTGAAAGCCTGATGAATGTGATTGAACAGCCCCTACTTGATGCTGAAACCCTGATGAATGTGATTGAACACCCACTACTGACTAAGGGCACAAATGTTGGAAACAACGTTTGTTTTGATCAATATAACACTATGGGTGGTGGGAGCAAATTGGAAAAAAAATTAAAAGTATGTTTTTAAAGATAGAAATACTGGTCATGGCTTCCTTTTAGTTTTTGTCCAATGAATTAAAAGTCAACGCAAATGTTAAGTAGTAAAAGAAATGTAAGATCCCTGGTATACATTGTACTTTTAACAATGCTTATGATCAATATCAATAAAATAAAATAAAAGTTATAATATGTAACTTGATATTTGTTAACTTCGCTCGATTTTACTGTGTCCAACATTTGATATTAAATCTTGTGTGATATATGAGAGGGATAGCACACAAGATTGTATCAATGTCAATGAAAGCAATTATTTCTTAAGTTTTCAACCATATTTCTTGAAACTTCATTTCTAAATTTCATACATCAATTGTTCAAGACAGTTTTAAGGTCAATTTCATTCAGTCAAGGTGAAGGCTACAGCTTCACAACCTGTTCATGTACATGTGACAGAGAAATTGTCAGTGCATTCCTAACTAAGTATTCAAACCAAATTTTATAAACCTTGATCCATCATTCTCAACATTAAATCATGCACTACCTGTTTGCATATACACAAGCAACCTCAACTTTCAATAAGTCCTGTTGTCAACATTTGTTGCACAATGCTATCAGTTCTGAAACCAACAATCATGACAACTGTAATAACATAGTATGTGTTCTAGCTGGTACATTTGCAGTACTCTTTTGAAATGTATTTGAAATTAATATGTGCATCTTATTTCAAATGCTAGCCTATGAAGATGATAAAGCTGAACATATGCTATAAAGTTGTTGTTTTCTTTGTGAAGAATTTATGCAATGGAAATAGAGGGAAAATAATGTAACTCTCCTAATCTTGTGTGTGTGTGTGAGTATGTATGTTTATATTTTGTTTATCTTATTCAATATTGAAACATACAACAATGTATCATATTGAATTAGAGTGCTTTTTATATTATTTGTTCATGGGAACACAGATTCAAAATAGTTCCATTTTTCATAAGAAGAGACCTTTTCACTGCAGTGAATATGTAAAACACTTTATTTAAAAGTTTTTCAAAATTATTGAGAGACTTGTAAATTTATGGGTAGCAGTAATCCACTTGCTTATCCACAATTTAGTTTCGGCAAGTAAACATCCTTATAAATATTGTTCTGTAACAATATACACTGACTGATGCAAAATTGAAACTTGAACAAAATTCACACGTATTAAAAAGCATGCCAACCCTGGTCGATGTGCACACTTTACAAGATAACTTGCTTGAATATATATTGATCAATATACAAACTTAGACGATAAGTTCAAAGTTGAGTGAAATCCATGCCTAATTAATTAGCATACTGTACTCTGATTGGTCAATGGTTTTATGCCAAGTAACTTTGTTAGATAAGGCAAGGGTTGATATCTTATTCAACAACAAAGGCAAAGTTCAAAGATGTTCACAATCTGTGCATAATCTATTCAATGGTTTAAAATAATCAGGTATTGGTCAAAGGGGTAAATGCCAGTTTCAGTTTTTAATGTTCTATGAAATACATTGTATGGACAAAGGGAAGCAATTCCAAATTCCTATGCAAATTAATTATCCAAAGGTTTAAAATGATATATTCTAGAGGAAACTTGGTACCACTCTTCTGACAAACCTATAAAGATATACTGTACACACAAGAAGAATAACTTCACAGTGGTACACTTTTACATAAAACTTTGATTCATAACAAATTAAAAGTAAATCCTTCTGTACAGTATGATGGGAACTTCGTCTTTATTTTGTTCTCAATTCCAAAAATAATATATATATCTTTTGCCTTAGCTTTCAGTACTTTCAGTACTTTGATTATTTTTTTTATTGAAGTCCGTTTTAGGAAGTATGGCAGCACGTCCATGGGGTAAGTTCGGACAGGCATTCAGGTAAGTTCGGCCTCCATTGGAATCAGTTTAATTATGACGTCATAAAGCATGCAACGTCAGATTTTACCGCCAATTTTACTAATTTTATGTGTTAATTAACAACATGGGCCGACCTTGCCAAGGTATTATTGATCTAACCTGTTCGGACCCGAATTTGTATTTCAATATATTCTTATCGTACAGCAATATGATAGTGAGCGATTGGCTTGGCTTTTATGTATATCATTTAAAGCTGTCAGTGTGTTACACGTTTGACTGCAAAAAAGTAGCAATTCCGTTTCAAAAAGTTCGCACAACTAGAAGCGAGATCATGATTTTCTTTCTACCCTCTCAAACGTAATTTTCTCCTTTAAGTCATTTTACATTAGAGTTTTTCCTCGCCATTTTTTCGTCGTTTATTCTTAAAGTTGTAAATATTAGCTCAAAAACAAAAATTATCAGGGATGGCTGAACTTGCCCCGGTCTTCCGTATGTAGATAGCAAAATTAAAGGCTCAGTGGTCACCACCTTGTGTATGAGACGAGAAGGCTAGTTTTATCATTTGAACGTGGGTGTCGCCCCTCTGTTATCTTCAAGGGACAGGTATCGGCCTTGTTTTTGGTCAGGTTTCACTTTCGCTCTCTGCACCCCTGGAATATGTCATAACGAAATTGAAGGCTCAGTGGTCACCGTCTTGTGGAGAAGACGAAAAGGCTAGTTTGATCCTTTGATGTCCATAAAAAGAATCTGTCGGTCGCGTAAGGGTAACATTGACTGGCTTTGAAGTCAGGTGTCGCTCCTCTGTACAAGTATCAGCCTAGCGATTGGTCGGGTTTGTTTTTACCTGAATTGGTTTGGTTTGTTTTACGTCCTATTAACAGCTATGGTAATTTAAGGACGTGCCAGGTTTTGTTGGCGGAGGAAAGTCGGAGTTCCCGAAGAAAAACCACCGACGTACGGCCAGTTCCAGGCGACTGGTCCACGTAGATCTCGAACCCGCGACCCAGTGTTGTAGGGCTAGCGGTAGCAGAATGTCGAACGCCTTAACCAATTGGCCACCGCGGCTCAATTTCATCCTAAAACCAATCAAACAGCTAGCAGTGTGCCTGCAATGTTGCTATGACATAGTCCAGGGCTGCAGAGAAAGTGAGCGTTACCCCTGGAGTGTCGAATGGTGCTTCAGATGACACCAACACAATAACTACATATTGAACTAATCACATATTGCGTTGGTTTGATTTTCAATATTTTATCAAATAAAACAATTTCATTTTACACCATACTCTGAATAACAATGGTGCTGACAAATCCACTTAAAGTTTAGGATAGAACGGGTTTATGTATGTGTCGTTGTCGGACATGGTCTTTTCGTTTGGCCCCTTTCAAACGAATTGGCTTTCGCGCTATTCCTGGCTGTTTTTGAGGTAATTTGAATCTTGGAGTGGCATCTAAGGACTTGAATTAAAAAATAGAGAGACAATTAAGTTAGAATTAATTTGCAATAGACACATAATCAGGATGATGATGCATGGGCAAAAATAAAAACTTAAAAGTCACAAAAAATAGCAATAACGTCTAAAAAGTTGAATTAACGTCCAAATTATTTTTATCAACTGTGAGCCGGATTTCGGATTAGCGATGTTAGATAATGCTGTCGGGATCGAAAAAAAAACATAAAAATCATAAATATAAAATTAACGTCACAAAAAAAACCTGATTTATCTGTTGAACAGCTTTTTGGGAACATTGATGTCCAACAACCTGTTAATATAGTAAGAATGCTCACTTTTTGGACAAGTTCTTCGTCCACACGTACGTACAGCCACGTGAACAATTTCCTTTCCTCGCGTATGACCACTTTATACTTGTCTTCTATTGTGTTCATTCCATCCTTTTCGGAAATGTGTTCTACACTATTATAAACATTTTTCCTGAAATAATAAATAGTAGCAATCAAACTTTGTATTAAACAACAGTGATATTACATGTTGAGGATATAATAAAAATAAGCTTTAGTACAGTACTACCAGACTGCATCCTCGATATCGAGGGGTTACGCTCACTTTCGCTCTCTGCACCCCTGGAATATGTCATAGCGAAATTGAAGGCAGGCGGCTAGCTACTTGATTGGTGTCCGGTAAAACAAAACCTGACCAATCACTAGACTGATACGTGTCCGTTACGCGAGATTCTTTTGATGACAATCAAAGGAACAAACTAGCCTTCTCGTCTCATTCACAAGACGGTGCACACTGAGCCTTCAATTATGCTATGACATATTTCAGGGGTGCTAAGAGAAAAAGTGAGCGTAACCCCTGGATATCGAGGATGGCCAGACTGTAAGCGCAGATACGTTAATGATCACTAATAGCAATTTGAGGGAGGACATAGCTTAATGATAACCTTACACAAAGCTGTAGTTGGAAATCAAGCTCTTTTGTATGGGTATTTTTTCAGTAGAGCAAAAGACTTTGGTTTGGTTTGGTTTGGTTGTGATTTACGTCCTATTAACAGCTATGGTCTTTTAAGGACGTTCTATGTTTTGGTGGTGGAGGAAAGCTGGAAATACCGACATATGGCCAGTTCATGTATTTGGCGACTGCCCCACGTAGGTCTCGAACCCTCGACCCAGTGGTGAAGGGCTAGTTGTAGCAGAATGTCAGACGCCTTAACTACTTGGCCACTGCGGCCCCTCTCAAAACACTGGTCACAAGGCATTTTCGTTAAATAATATCAAGTTTTATTTATTTCCGTGGTCGCAGTATTTTTTTACAGCCATTGACCAAACCTCCATCCCACTCCCTAACACAAAATTAGTCTTCTAAATGTGTTCAATACCTCTCGTCCAGCTTGGGGTCTCTTTCATGGTCAAGTGTGGTTGTGTACGCCACTTCATTTGAAGGACGAGATATCCTGTAATGCTTTTTATGGAATCTGTAAATAAAATAAATAAATAAACTATATATCTTGTTTTCAATATTTACAGAATCGTATGTACTATTTTACTGTTTAAACTGGCCTAGTCTTACATCTTGCTTCTCAATGACAATAGTGATACTTGTTGAGGCTAGATTAAAAGGAGTATTTTCTTTGGTGTGTTTACTTTGTTAAAAGTATAACATTAAATGATTTTGTCCGTCTACCGCCCCACAATTGTAATCTTATTTGAATATATTTGAACGAAAAGGTTTAAGAAAAGTAAAGAGTGTTACTAATCTCCATCGTTGACCAAACTGAATGAAGTAGAGAACTTAACATGTTTCGAAATACATTTATCAGAAGGCCATATAAAAAAAGCATCCATCATGGGACATTAAAATTGTTCTTGATCAATTTAGTAATTTTTCCAAAACTGTTTTTTTCAATCTTTTTACAATGAATAAAGAATGTCCTCCAAACCAAACTAGCATATGTAGAACGATTTATTATATCGATCGGTGTATCCTATTTTTGGTTCTAAATGGCTTAAAACAGAATATGAAAACATAATTATTGTAAACATACGTCACTGTGGACAACAAACACATTTGTATACAATTAGTTTTATTACAACTAATTTACAAAATTAATTCGTACATAATGCCTTTTTTCTGTCTGTCGCACTCCACAATATATATGCCCACAGATATACCACTGATACACTACTTACACACATACTGTACAGCAGAGAACTGAATATGTGTGTGATACGTCACTACATGTGACGTATCACACACTGTTACTTGTTTACGTTGTCCAGGTGACTACTATTTTATAATTCATTTATGCATGCAAGGCAAGCCCCAAATAAATTTTTATTATTCGTTGATGGTGGCGTTACCACGGTGTGAATTATCAAGACGTCATTTGTTTTGGCTCACGTTTGACGTCATTTATGTATAATTGTTCACATGATACTTTAATTCGAGATCGCGTGTTTTGATTACTTCTCTGGTTTACAGAGATTGTAACTATTCACAGAACACGTAAGACTGAAATCTTATTAACATCTCAAAATCAGGACATATTTTCCTGAAATCTGGCAAAATAGTGATGTAGCTAATATTAAACGTTGACACTATTGGCCAGAGCTCAATGTTTGATTATTACTGCAGGACAATTGATCCGCTTGTTTTAAGAGCATCCTGATTATAACTATAGGCTCGCTATAGCGCGCGCCAGCCCAAAAAAAAACGTGACATATCAGCATTCTATTATGCAGTGTTGGTGGAATGTGGCATGTTATGTTAAATTACCTGCGAAATAAGTCGTCGTCTTCGGCCCCCCAAACAAAGAAAGCATTAGAATAGCCGTTCACTGCCACAAACTGTTTGTATGTCACACTTAGTATTCCTCCAATCAGGTAGCTATATAATAGTCTGAAACAAAAGAATATTAAATGCATTAATTTGAAGAAAATATGGTGCAGATTATTAGAGTTACCCTAATGATAAATATGTGTGTAAAGTCTGCTTTTCTCTTTTTTAATTTAACTGGATTTTTATTCTGGTACGGTAAACATTAAAAAATAAAATCTTAATATAATTTTAATGGGTTATTTAAAAAAATAAAAAAAAATAATGGGTCATTTAAAACAAATATCTTAATTTAATTTATGGGGTTATTCCGTTACGTGATGAAAGGATATGTGTCGGTAAACTTAAGAAATAGTTTTTCATTCTTTCCACACCTTACCTTGAATTAACAATTGGTTTTCTTTTATTTACTGAAAAATATTCTCAGTTCGTCTATAAGGACTAATGAGTCCTACATGGATGACGGTTCTAATGGATGAAATGGCCATAAACAAATGTTTACTTATTCGACGTTTTGCATCTGACAAATTTGGAGTTAGTTCCTTCGTATTTCAAGAATCCCCTAATTTCAACAAAGCTTTGATAGATGCACACGTCTCTTTAATACTTGCTTAACATGGCGGGTGTCATCGATGAAACAGAAGACTCTAACCCTTCTCGAACACCTGGTCTTATTTTCCTTGTGTTTTTTCGAGGGTCTTCGTGTAATTTCTTTCCTTTGTTCCTATTTTGATATTTTGGTATTCTCTTGGGTGTTTTTTTCGGTAAGTCGCTGTGTAGGGTTTTTGGGGTTTGTTTATTTTCTTTACTTTGTTACTTACTTGTATTGGAAGACGTTGACTAAGACTGCTATGTGTCGTATCATTTTTTCGCCCCGAATGTCACATTCAAACATGTTTCTGTCGTCTTCAATGATAGTATCCACGTCGTTAAATATGAAACAGTCATATTGGGCTGTCTTGTTGGCTTCCAGAAATCCAATATTGCGCAACATTCCTCGGTTGAACCGGTTGCCAGGCGCCTGAAAAATAGGCGTGTTTAGGTTCAACAAGACCCCTTAACGATTGACTAGTCACCCAAACTTCCAACCTCATGGCTTATTCAAATAACCCAATTTAACCATTCAAATAGGTAATTTGGATACTTTAGTTATTAAAATAATACATAGTGACATTAATATCGTCTGCAAGGAAACATTTAGGCCTATGTTAATAAAAAGAGTTTATCGACATTATAACGTGTCAATCTCTCTTTTGCGAACTAATTATTTTATTTCATTTTTTTTCATTTACTAGCTGTCGAGAGACTAACTGGCTTCAAAGCAAGATGGAAGTGGCTTGACAAACTACAGGCATCATAGTAAAATGTTCCGATAAGATTTTGAACAGGTATATAAATGCAAAAAAGGGTCGTGTGAAATTGATGAACAAATGAACTTTACATAAAAGTTACCTTCGTAATCTATGTCGTCGTTTTAAAGCTAGACGTGGTATACACATCATAACACTACTTTATTTACAATGTTTAGAGCAAATCTAGCTCATTTAAGTGGAATGTAATGCAGAGTTAATTTATCAATCCATAATACTTAGCCTTCGTTTTCATGTTCATAATCTGTTAAAATATATTTTTTGGGAGTTTTATTATGATTTTTGTAGTTTAGCAATGCAACATCCGTCTTGATTTGTGGAATGTTAGCTTTTCCATAGCTACCTCGGTAGTTAAAGAGAAATTAAGCCCCACGTGACCAAGGTATAAAAATAAACTGTAGATCATGTGTCATTTTGTGAAAATTGAAAATATTTCCTGTGAACTATTATTTTATTAGAACATCACCCTTAATGCCTCATTATTGACAAAGGTAACTCCGTTTTAATAACAAAAGTAAAAGTTCAATATATCCAAATGACATATTTTACTTTCACATTGAAAACTTCCGTAGAAAATAGTGCCAGTAGTATTATGATATTTTTAGTTATGCTATTCTGCACGCATAAACACAATATTGAATTGGAACAGGTAGTGTTTTACAATTTCTCAAATTTTATAATTAAACTCGGTACAGAGATAAGTATTTCTCATAGAAAATAGGTGGATCAAGAACATACAGATTGTACTTTACAGACACAAGTCGAGGATAACAAACTACATGTATACGTTGAGGCATAGCTAGTAGTTAGGTAGAAGACCATCCACGATTTAAAAAAAAAAGGCAATATTACAGGATTTGGCCTCTGCACGGCCGAACTCAAGTCCATTGTTTTACTTAGTTTGATCTAAAACGCTAGCACATCGCTTCAATATTCATATTGTAGTCCGTGGTGGAAATATAAAAGCATTGACGCCCACCTGGTAACAAATCAATTTACACTCGGTGAACGACGAATTTATCAATTTTATACACCAAGAAATTTAAAAATAGGAATAAACGTCACAAGTACTTCAAAAAAAAATAACTACAGGGCAATTGTGTAAATAATGCTTGGAAAAATAACTACAGGGTAAATAATGCTTGAAAAAATAACTACATGGCAATTGTGTAAATAATGCTTGGAAAAATAATTACATGGCAATTGTGTAAATAATGCTTGAAAAATAACTACAGGGCAATTGTGTAAATAATGCTTGGAAAATGAACTTCAAGGCAATTGTGTAAATAATGCTTGGAAAAATAACTACAGGGCAATTGTGTAAATAATGCTTGGAAAAATAACTACAGGGCAATTGTGTAAATAATGCTTGGAAAATGAACTTCAAGGCAATTGTGTAAATAATGCTTGGAAAATGAACTTCAAGGCAAATGTGTAAATAATGCTTGGAAAATGAACTTCAGGGCAATTGTGTAAATAATGCTAGGAAAGAACTACATGACAAGTGGTATTGTGTTTGAGCAATCCTTGGGCAAAGAACTACATGGCCTTTGCGTAAACAATGCTAGGAAAGAACTAAACGACAAGTGGAATTGTGTTTGAGCAATGCTCGGGCCAATAACTACATGGCATTTCTGTAAAGAATGCTAGGAAAGACTACATGACAAGTGGTATTGTGTTTGAGCAATGATCGGGCAAAGAACTACATGGTAATTGTGTAAAAAAAAAATGCTAGGAATGAGCTACATGACAGGTGGTATTGTGTTTGAGCAATGCTCGGGCAAAGAACTAAATGGTAATTGTGTAAACAATGCTAGGAAAGAACTACATGACAGATGGTATTGTGTTTGAACCGTACTAGGGAATAAACACTATGAGACAAGTGTTGTTCCGTGAAATCCTTTCTTGGGTTAATGCAAAAAGTATAACACACTGCAAGCTTTTCGGGAAGTGATATAATATATTTTAGTGTATTGAGAACTACAAAGTGGTGCCTGTAATCAACCCTTGTCTCAAGTATTGGTTGTACGCTTGGCAAGGGGTACCCGAACCATGGTTGTAAATAGTTGTGCCTTCGGGGTGAAGATTTAGCAGGGCGGAACTGGACTACATCGATCGTCGGCGACCATGTAGCTCAATTTCGTTCGTCTAGAGTTCAGAGAGCCCCGGATTCTAACCCTGGTCTGGCCTTGCATTTTTCCTCTCCTGTTACACCTCTAAGAATTAAACTTTCTTCTTTCTTATCTGTTTCCTATGTGTTTTGTATAGTAGTAGTTTTCCTTTTTCTGTGTACAACACATTAGTCATTTAAACTTACTTACAAGCAACATTGTTAAGAAAAATCGGGTATTGTGATGGGTGTATAATAAACAAATATATTATATGTTTATTGTACAGTGTCTTGATGACGAAAGTTAAAAATAAAACAAACCCCCAAAAAAGTTAAATACTTCGTATAAAGCAGCAGATCAACGATGCTTAAGAAAATGCCAATCATGTCATTGATATTTTCAACATCAATTCATTTTCACAAAGTTTTCATTCGAAAAGACAAAAATATTCTATTGAGAATTTTTGTTTACGCTTTATAATAATAATAATTAATAATAATTCGAGGTTCTTATATACCGCTTTATAATAACCTAGTTCCGAGATCGTCTCAAAGCGGTTCACAAATTATTATCCGTGGTTATAGGGCCTTTGCAACCAGCCAATATCTTTTTCAATTCCATGGAGAGCATACAGCCGGTGCTGCCATTTCGGCGCTCACAGCTTGTACTCTACAATTCTAGCACTGCCCAACCACGTACTCAATTACAGCTGATTAGACTGGACAACAAAATGCCGTGCCGTGACTCGAACCCGCAATCCTTCGGTCACGATCCCGGCGTTCTACCACTAGACTACCGTGCCTCCTTTATATCGGATTGATATCTAAGTATGTCCGGATATTTTTGTTCGGGATTATAATCGACCCGAAGCTTACAACAGAGGAAAATTACTATGTTTTGGAAATACAATAATTTGTGTGCTTTTTTTTACGTTCTATAATATGCTTGCTTGACTTTTGTAGATTTTTATTTTATTTGATAATAATAGATATTTAGACAATAAGGTAGGGGTACATCAGCCCCTTTTGAGACAATGCATTTTTTTCCATTTACAAGTGTTATTAGAAAATTTTGTATAATGTCCAGATATTTGTTTATTATGATTCAGCACAATAATCCATAACTTAATCAATATTCTCATCCTTACCCGGCTCCATCTTGATACCGCTCACTTTCGCTCCCTGTACAACTGGAATATGTCATAGCAAAATTGATGGCACACAGTTAGCAGTTTGATTGGTCTCAGATGGGAAAAAAACCCTCACCAATAGCTAACCGGATGAAGATTACGGAGGAGCGACACGTAGCTTCAAAGCCTGGCAACGTTACCGTTACACGACCGATATATTCTTTTGATGGTCATCTAATGATCACACTAGTCTTATTGTCTTATCCACAAGGTGGTGTACACTGAACCTTCGATTTTGCTATGACATACTCCAGGGGTGCAGAGAGTGAAAGAGAGCGTAACCCAGAGGTCGAAATTGACCCAGTTCTAGCACTTACCTGTTCTACAACAAATATGGTGTAGTCTAACTGTTGTCGTTGCAGCTTTGGTAAGACGTTAGACATCAATATCTTAAGATGACTGTCCCTATCTCGATAAGGAATAATGATAGCTACCCGGAACACAGCCTTACAACCTTCGGGTTTCAATCGTCCGCCTTGCAACGTGTCACTGAACCTACTGTCTAGGTTCTGCCACTTATGAATTGTCAAATTTACAGTTTCTCTGCCGTCTACAACAAAGAAGATATAAACTTACTACTGTATGTTTCCATTTCGGATGGAAATCCCTATTGTTTTCGTTATGTTTTTTCTTATTAATATTATTATTCTTATTATTCTTATTTCCACAGATCTTGTTAATAAATTAGCTCATGAACAGATATAACGTTATATTTCAGTATGGAATAGGGGACTTTGATTTCTAAAAAAAATAAACGATTATGTCAAAAGTCAATGGCACAGGTCTATAAATAGAGGGTTGTTTTTACTTTGGTCGAGTGACCATAACTTAAAACCCGTTTGTTGCACTACATGAACGCTCAAAGGTTCTTGTAGATCCTGGGCGGGGCTAACCTTTTCCTATGACATGTTATCAGAGAATATGTCAAGTTCAAGGCCTTGCTATGGGGTCAAATATAGGTCAAAATGAAAATCTCAAAAACAGTTCTTTTCTTATCACATCTTCAGGAGCACGATCTCATTAAGGTATGTGGAAAGTTTTAAGGTCATAGCATGAGAAGTTACGATGATATATGCCACTTTGAAAAAAAAACATTTTCCAGACACAATTCAAAATTTTCAAAAAAATTGCATTTAAAACTCTTTTCCCTCATCGAGCATACATAGGTGATATTTGGCACATCTATATCATGTATCCTTGGCTTCAAACACAACACAAATCGTGGACCTTGATCTTCATTCAAGGTCGCATGGGTCAAATGATCAAAATTTGAAAATTAAAAACAAATCAAATAATTTATTTTACATCACATTTTAAAAAGTACAACCTCACTGAGATAATGGTTATAAAGTTACAGCATCCTCGTGCATATAAATAAACATGTAAAACCTACAAACTATCGCTTAAAAGGACAGATGATGTGTACTAGTGTTTGGTGTGCTTTGTTTAAATAACAGAGCTCCTTGACTGAAAAACAACTAATATTCATTGGTATATTTCTACAACAAAATATGCTTGAAGTCATTGACTAAATTATTGCATTTTGAACACATTTCAACTTACGAAATGCTGTCATGTTTCTCACACAGATAGGCAGCTGAGATTCAGTAATTATCCGTTGGTTTTCGGTGAAAGTCTTATTCGCGTCATCAGATGTTGTATTCTTGTGATAACTTTTGTCGAACGCAATAATACTCCTTCGAATGTTGGTAATAGTGTTGTTTGCGTCATCAATTGGGGCTTTCACACGATATCTCTTGTCAAGCTCCGTAATATTCCCTTGTTTTTCGGCGAAAGATTTATTCACTCCCTCAAATGACGCTTTCATAAGATATCTTCCGTCAAACTCAAAAACACTTCTTTGAACTTGGGTTATAGTTTTTTTCGCGCCATTAAATGAGGTTGTCATTTGATAAACGGCTAGTAACATTGATAATAGGGCTATCGTCAAAATCTTTGTTCGGAAACGTGACACAATATATTTCAAAAATCGTACTTTGTACCGGCAGAGCACAGATGGTATCGTATCCATGTCGTTCAATAGACCCTGCTCCCTATGGAAAACATCTGACGTATGTAACTAATATATCTGTTTCACCGGGTTCATTTTGCCGTTTTTCAGAATAAAACTACGTTTTTCCTCTATCGGGCTAACGTTAAACCGTGTTAACATGTGATGGCTGTGACCAATCGGAACAGATCGTTTAGGGAAACTCCCAACCGGCCGCTGTGTCGTGTGCCATTTGCTTGCTTAATGCCATTACTTGACGCGGTAAAGATGTTAGATATCAGCTACGTAACTGTGAACGCTTTGATCCTGATTTACTCAACTGTTATATAGATACATAATAAAGTGGATGTCTAAGTGCACCCTGCTTCAGGCATGTTGTCATATTACACTTACTTATTATGAGACTATCGAGGACAATACATGTTGTGTAAAAATATTTCAATTCAAATGACTTCCCGAACCATTCTATTTTGTATTAGTCAAAAGCCCTTAGGCCTATAGGTACATACATAATCATATATGTTGACTAGATTTAGGATATCGTCTCATAAATGAAATATAAAAATTGGAAGACATCATTACGGCTTACGCAGAAACAGAATTTGTAAAAAATGTAATTTGAGAGATATAGAAGACGAGTTCCATTTTATTTATATTTTTCCATTTTATAGCTATTTACGGCACAGATTAATCAAACAATATTATTACAGAAAACCCTCCATTTGTAAATTAATACAACTAATTGGTATGAATTATGTTCATTATGGTTGGTCGGATGGCGCAGTTGATAACGCACTCGCCTTTCACCAAGGAGACCAGGGTTCGATTCCACGATCGGACGTGACAAGATATGAGGTCACCTGCCCGACCGCGTGGCTTTTCTGCGGGTAATCCGGTTTCCTCCCATATTATATAAGAACCCCTGCGCGCTAACATCCGGGCTAACAAGAGTGATTAATATAGGTTATAAATAAATAAAGTTTATAAATCCGCCATTTTGTATCCAAGATGGTGCCTTAGCAACCTCCTTAACCTACGGCCCTAGATCTACATCTATTCATCATGTGTGGTATTTTATTTATAGTAATGAAAGTGTGTCCAGGTAAATGTAGTATCGTACAAGTGTATATAAGTATTATACTATCTCTGTGTATACATATGAAGCATATGAATGTATTACAATGGAATGTATGTAATATAAAACACAACAAGTATGAAGTTTAAAAACCTTAAATGATGAAGTAGTATACAAGTATCACAAGTGAGAATGAACTGTGTATATAAGCATAGTTTGAATAGTCAAGAAATATATACACATGTATCAAAGTTAAATATATATATGTATCAATGTTAAGTAATATATATATATACATACATGTATCAATACTTGTGCATACATGTCAATGGCATATATAAAATGTGAAATTTACAAAATGCAGAAGTGTACAGAGTATAAAAAATGGATACATGTATAGGTATGTAGTTTACAGAGTATAAAGAAATGTATACATGTATAACTGTGTAGTTTACAGAGTATAAAGAAATATATACATGTATAGGTATGTAGTTTACAGAGTATAAAGAAATGTATACATGTATAACTGTGTAGTTTACAGAGTATAAAGAAATATATACATGTATAGGTATGTAGTTTACAGAGTATAAAAAATGTATACATGTGCAAATGTGTAGTTTACAGAGTATAAAGAAACGTATACATGTATAGGAATTGTATACATGTATAACTGTATAGTTTACAGAGTATGAAAAAATGTATACATGTATAAGTATAAAGAAATGTATACATGTGCAAATGTGTAGTTTACAGAGTATAAAGAAACGTATACATGTATAGGTGTGTAGATTACAGAGTATAAAGAAATGTATACATGTATAACTGTGTAGTTTACAGAGTGTAAAGAAATATATACATGTATAAGTATAAAGAAATGTATACATGCATAACTGTATAGTTTACAGAATATAAAGAAATGTATACATGCATAACTGTATAGTTTACAGAGTATAAAAAAATGTATACATGTGCAAATGTGTAGTTTACAGAGTATAAAGAAATGTATACATGTATAGGAATTGTATACATGTATAACTGTATAGTTTACAGAGTATAAAAAAAATATATACATGTATAGGTGTGTAGTTTACAGAGTATAAAGAAATGTATACATGTGCAAATGTGTAGTTTAAAGAGTATAAAGAAACGTATACATGTATAGGAATTGTATACATGTATAACTGTATAGTTTACAGAGTATAAAAAAAATATATACATGTATAGGTGTGTAGTTTACAGAGTATAAAGAAATGTATACATGTATAGAAATTGTATACATGTGCAAATGTGTTGTTTACAGAGTATAAAGAAATATATACATGTATAAAAATGAAGTTTACATAGAGAGGAAATGTAAAGGTTTATATAGACGTTTTTTATATGTATCAGCGTAAAGTTTATAAGTATATATATTCTTATACAGAACACACAAGTTAACAAATCATTGCATTATTGCCCTTGGTATATATTGCACAATATGTATATAAAATGTTCAGCGGTACTTAGCATTACCTCATGCTAGTTATATTATGTACTTGTTTTTCTGCATGTACAAAATGTCCCTAGACTTTTGATTCTCCTTTGGAATCTTACAAAAAAACAATCCCAATGAGTCATTATGTCCGTTCACTCTATCTCCTGTTTACTCTGACTTCTCTGTCGTCTGATCTGTCTACACTTTTTTCATCCCTGACTTACCTGTTCACACGCAGTAAGGCAATTACTTCGTGCGTTATAACCTCGTAAGAGTGCGTCCGATCGTGCCCCAATGACCTGCATTGTGTACGTTTTTGACAATGGGTAGTAGTCTAACGTGTTATAGGGCCGCGATTGGATTATATTACATAAAAGTATACGGTCTCATAAGAAAGAAAGTAAGAAAGTTTTATTACTTTTAGATATACACTGTTATCAATTTGAAATGGGTGGAAGCAACTCGCCTTTATGTATCATCCTAGGGATATCTTAGTTATACAAAGGATAATTCAAAATTATCTTAACAATATTATGTACACAGTTTTTGTCTTTACATTATTACTTATATGCATGGATGTCGAACTAAATCCAGGACCAAATAGTCATGAGTTGTCAATCTTTCATTTAAATATTCGTTTTAGAAACAGAATAGATTACATTATGGACTTAGCAAGTGATTACAATGTTATATCATTGACTGAAACTCATCTTGATGATAATATACTAACTCGAGATTTAGAATTACAAGGTTTCAGCGAACCTTTTAGTGCCGATAGGAATTTTGCTGGTGGTGGAATAAAGCTACCAGACGTTTAGACTTAGTTTCCGAATGGCGAGTTAACTTGATTTTACACGTAGTAGTATTTTATTATGTACCGTATCTATACCTCCTAACGCCAATAATATGTTCTGGGAACAATTTCGTACTTCAATAGAAAAAACAATGGATTCATCGGCTGAGTTTGTTATAATAGATGACATAAATGTAGACATGCTAACTGTTTCTAGGCAACACGTTTATTCGTATATTTTCACCAGTTTTAATTTGAGAAATGTTATAAATTCTCCAACACGGATAACCAACAATAGTCTTCTTGATCCTGTCATTCTTTCGGAACAGATTAAATGTATCGAATCACCAGTCTTACCTATAGATAGGAATATCAATTATCATGAAGCATGCTTAGTATATATAGAGGTTTTAATCAAATTAAATGTATCTTATAATCGTGAAATATGGTGCTATAATCAAGCGGATTTTAGTGAACTGAACAAGCAAATTGAATTTATTTCTTGGAATGAAATGTTTATAGAATCGGAAAGTATTGTTGAAGCATGTAACAAGTTTACTAATACATTTAAATCTATGGTTAGTGCATGTATCCCCCAAAAGGTTATGAGTATTAGACCTAATAATAAGCCGTGGATGACGACTATATTGAGAAAATGTATTCGATTACGAGATAGGTTACGCAAAAAATGTAGACGAAGTATGCGTGATATTGATATAACTTGTTTTAAAACAGCTAGAAACCGAGTAAATAATAGGAAAAAGCATACACGAGAATCATTTCATGCTAATATAGACGGTCTTATTGATAATTATGTAGTATTAGATCCTAAGTCATATTGGAAACTGTTGAGGCGGTTAATTAAATCAGGCGGTAAAACTAATGAAATTTCACCATTAGTTGATCCACAAAATGGGAGTATTATATATGATGATTTTGAAAAGACTGAGACTTTAAATAATGATTTTTCTTCAATCTCAGACTTGGATGACAGTGATGCTAGAGTTCCTTCCCTTGATCCTAGAACTAATTCTTCCTTGGCTTCCATTCAATTAAACTATTCGGAAATAAAAGACGTTTTGAAAGTATTAAAATTAGGTAAAGCTCCTGGTACAGATGGTATTAGTCACCATATGTTACGACACACTACAAAAACTATATGTTAACATTTTCAAATATTATTTAATATGTCATTGTCTAAATGTATGTACCCGACTTTGTGGAAACAAGCTATAGTAATGCCTTTGCACAAAAAAGATCAACATTTACCTTCAAATTACAGACCTATCTCTTTACTATCAGATGTAGGAAAAGTTTTTGAACGAGTAATTGTCATACATATTCACAACTATTTTTTTTGAAAACTCACTATTTTATTCAAGACAATCTGGATTTATGTCTAATCATTCCACTGTGCAACAGCTAATCGAAATCTATCATAATATCTGTTCGAATTTGGAGGAAAAGAAACATACTTTTAATATCTTTTGTGACATATCAAAGGCTTTTGAAAGAGTTTGTCATAAGGGTCTGATTGAAAAGCTTAAATGTTATGGTATTACAGGAAATTTCTTGAAGTGGTTAATTAATTATCTACAGGCCCGACAACAAAAAGTTTTTATTGGTGAATCATTTTCGAATAGTCAGTTATTAAAAGCTTGGTTACCTCAAGGCTCGGTGTTGGGCCCGCTTTTATTTCTAATCTATATCAATGATATTTCCGAAAATTTAATTAGCGTATCTAGACTTTTTGCTGATGATACTTCTTTAATATTTGGTTCTAACAACTGCAACGAAATTGAA